GTGCATTTCTGACAGAATACTGTATTAATGACAAATTGCAAGTTTGGTAACACAAGTCAGAAAATGTTTTAAACCTGCCGGCTTGGGGAAGTAAGATGACCTTTTTTAGACATAGAAAAATTGCAATACTAGACAAAATCATCGTATGCCGTTTGAAGAATTATTGATCTTCAAAACTGTTAACATCTTTGCACTCAGAAGCCGGAGAGCTGCTGTAATAGATAATTTCTCAATGCTATTTCAAATGTGTGAGAGTAGAGTTGCTCCCAAGATGCGAGCAGCTCTTCACTCACGGGTCAGCCCGTCTTCTGCCGATGGCACTTGCTTAAGGACGGAGCCAGGGGACATCTCCACGGCCAAGGCGCTGGTGGTTATCCTACGGCGAGCCACGCTCCCGCTTCTCACAGCGAGAGGAAACAAAGCAGAAAGTGCTCCAGCCCTTTTTGGAGTGACCTTGATGTGCAACTCCCCTCCCGCCCCGCTGAGCTCTGCTTTTTATACCCTGCCTCCATCTCCTCTCATGCTGCATCAAAACCTCTGCAGCAGTTTCGAGTCGCGTCTCACACAGCAGCATCTCCTCCTCTGCCCTCCTTCCCCCGCTTGCTGGATTTGATGCAGCCATGAGGAGAGCTCACGCTCTCCAAAACCCAAAAGGCTGGAAATATCCAGGGAAACGGGTCCGAGCTGACCCAGGGCTCTGCGCAGGGCCAGGTCGCAGCAGCAATGCTACGGGTTTGCCCAGGACAGGCTGGAGTATCTCACTCTTCCCCGCCCCGAATTTAGTTAGAATATTTTACAGGCGATTTTCTATCAAGATGTCAGCTGCACTATCAACCCACCCCCTCCCCTGCACACAATCAAAATATTTTGATAACCGAAAAATGTCAGGCAATACAGCAAATTTTGCAGTAAATAAATAGAGCAAATAACTGCAAAGACAAGAGAGGGAGGAGTGGGGAGCTGATGCCTCTGCAGAAGGCTTCCATCCCTGATCAACAAAAAGATCCTTTAAATTTACTGACTTGACAAAAATACTTTTCTACAGAAAGAGCCCCCCCCATAGTGGAAAAAGGAGGCTGATGGCAGGGGATCTCGTGCTGCTGGTTCACACCTCCCTGCTCTGGAGGGCCAGCGCTCCCCCCCAGCGCCTGGCCCGGCCCCACGGCGCGGCCAAAGAGCGATGAGATGAATCCCCTGGCAAACGAGCCCTCAGCGAGATACTAAACACAAACCAAATATGTGTGACAAATCGCAATGACAAGGTTGCGCTGGCAGGCTGGATGGCGGGTAACGAAATCCCTGTCCAGACAGTGCTACGCTCTGGGCACTCTCCGAGCCAAAAGAAGGCAAGAGATGCTGCCAAAAACCCATCGGCGCGACCACCACACCCATTTTCCACACTGCGACGGGCGGCCGAGGCCGCTACAAACGCTGACGGCGCCCGGAAAGCCGGGGCTGGGTCTGGTGCACCACGCACCCAGCTGGGGGGAACTGCGGAAACGCCGGGGCTGGTGCACAAGGTGGGAGGAAGGAGACCCACCAAGAAACCGAGAGCAAAACCCAACCCTTCGGGCTGGTCGGAAAGGACCGAAATGCCGGCGGGGGGGTTAGTGGGGGAGCCGGAGCGTGAGACGGGCAGCTGGCTGCGCCGCGCGGGGTAACGCAATAAATCGAAGGCACGGCGCCCCGTTCTGCACGTGGGGAACCACACACGTGCACACCCACGCTTTTGCCCCCCGCTGCCGGCACCCCGGGCTGCCCACCCGTGTCCCCCCGTGCCCCGCACAGCCCCTGCAGACACAGGGATCCCCTTTTCCCATGCCAAACCCCGGTGTCGGGGTGCCGTTTGGGGCTGGCCAGAGGCTCATCCAGAAGCAGCCGCAGTTTATTAGCCCAGTAGCTGTGGAAAGTTTCCAGGCTGGGCAGGATGCTCCGGCGGCGAGCCGGGGAGGGGAGCGGGGTCCACGCAAGGTTCTCGCTGCAACAGGAAAGCGAGGGCAGCGTGGGCAGCACGGCTCGCGAAACCCAGGGGGTACTTTGGAAGACAGATCTCTCTTCAGCCCCTTGTCCCCTCCGATGTCCCCTGTCCCACCACCAGCACTCCTCAAAGGGTATGCAGCTCCCCCCCAGGCTTTTTGCTTCGTTCTCTTTCCACGCACGGACAGCAAAGGCGAGCCTGGCCTTCTTGCTGGGGCTGGACAAACAGAATTGGTCTCTTCAAAGAAAGTTTCCTACCTTTGCCCCTGGCCCGCGGCGTCGGAGCGGCCGCGGCTCGTCCCCACCGCGAGGAGCAGCAGCATTTCGGCAGGCCACGGCTAGTACGAGCGGTGTGGGGACGTTTTATTTTTTTTTCACCGGTTCCATAGCTGCCACCTCTGCAAAGGCATCACATCTTGAGTGTGTGACAAGCCCTAACACGGCCAGGGGGCTGTACTCTGCGGGCAAGGGAAAGCCTCGAAGGACTATGCACCGAAAGCCGGTGGGCTGGGGGGGGGGGGCTGGTGGGGGGGGGGGCAGCACCCACGCGGGGGCCCCGCCGGCGTGCCCGTGGGTGGGCAGCATGGGGGAAAGCGGCAAACAGCTTCGCTGGGGTGCTCTGGGCTTTCTGCTTTCAGCCCGAGTGGATCCGGGGGGTGCATCTCCGCTCGGAGAAGGCGACCGCAAAGCATCCATCTGCAAAAATACCCCGGCAAACACAACCCCTCACCCTCCCCCCTGGTTTCTGCGAGCAGCATTCATTCCTTGCTCTCGCTGTAGATCCGGCACGCCGAGTCCTTTCTCCCCAAGAGTATTCTCCCTTTACAAAGCAAGATCATAAAGCAGTGACATAATCCAAGCTTGGCAAACACTTTTGCTGATGTTAAGCCAGTGCCTTTCGTGGTTCTCGCTGCAGCTTTTGAGTCCACGATATAGATGGCGCAACCGGCTGATTAAATGTGCAGGAGCCTCCCAAGATACCATTTCATTTGAAATGCTGACATTTATATTTGACATTCCAATAAGTGTGGGGCTTTTTTTTTTTTTTTTTTTTTTTTTTTTTAATTAGTTCTTGCAAGGGTGCGGGTCAGACATAGCTACGCAATGAAGTTCTCCATAGAATAGGTATGATTCAAACAGATGACTCCTGGCCAGACTTCCTACCCCATCTACCTTGCAGAGGAGCCTCGAGGCCAAATTAATTAGAGGCCACCCACAAGTAGATGTGAGGTGTAGGTGAATCTCTTTGCCCATTCATTCCCTGCCACATCTGCTGAGATCTCAACGTACACACTAAGGGTGAGTGGGAGGGCTCTGGTGCTAAATAAATGACTCGATTCCTTTCGTTCTGGCACCAAAACGCAGCCAGCCAGAGAGGCTGAGTAGTAAACAATAGTCGTAATGCGGAAAAAAAAAAAAAAAAAAGAAGAAAAAAAAAAAAAGCGGCATATAAGATGCCTCAATGAAGAGGTGTGATTGTTGGCAAAATGTGTCCTGTTTGAGTTTATGGGATGTACAGAGTCTTTTTATTAGGGATACTTTTTGCTATTAGTGTAATAAAAAAGGACCAATTGTTTCTGCCATCTGAGAAAACTCTTGGTGGAACAGGCAGAAATCCAGGAATAATTAAGAAAATAATAGTGCACACCCAACAAGAAAAACATTATTTGTTTAAAGATGAAGTCCCTCCAGAATACTTGGTAGTGATTGCGTTTCTTTCAAAAGGGGGGAAAAAACCCTTCTAAATGAAAAGCAGCAGCCATCAGCTAGTTTCTAAGATCTCCAGTGGAAAAAGTGCAGGGCTGTAATACCCTTCAGTGGTAAGACTTTTTCCATTTTCACCGCTCTTATCAGCCGTCGCAAGTTGCAAAATAATAGTGTTTTGCCCTTACATGTTTCCATCGGAGGATCAGAAGCGCTTCACAAAGCAGAATTAATTGAGCTTCACTGCTCACCTGTGAGAACAGAGCAATTATTTAGCAACAGGGTTTGGGGGGTTTTTTTGCTGTTTGGGGTGGGGGTAGAAGTAAAAACTGCAACAGGAAGATCACGAATTTGCCAAGCCAACACAAGACTTCCACACCTTTGCCTGTTCCCAACGATGGAGACGACAAAGCTGGAAGTTTCTGACCTCCCCAGATGTGGGTTCTCCCTTCGGAAGGGACCAGCATCGCTCTTCCCGCCGGCCTCAGCTTGCCAGGCTTCCCGCCGGCACCAGTGACCGAGCTCTGCCTTTTCACGTTAAAAAATATTGAGAAAACCACGTCTCCGAAGCCCTCGTCTTCCCTGCGAGCGTGTCACGGTGCCGTCCCGCGCCCGGGACCCAAAATCCTGCTCCCACCACCCCACTGTCTGTGGAGACGCCCAGTATCACAGTAAAAAGGTGGGGGGTGGGGGGCAACCCCCCCAATTATAAACCCCACTTTGATCCCCCGTGCAGCGCACAGGCAGAGCCCCACGCTGGAGAACAAGAAATCAACTTTTCCTTGACCAGGAGTGAAAAAAGCATCATCTGAATGGTTCCCACGGAGGGAAGAGGCGGTGGAAGGAGCCTGTTTGCACGAAGCTGAGGCTGCCCATCAATCCCGCGCCGCTCTTGTGATTTTTAAATGTTTTTAATTTCATTTTTTCTTTATTCATTTGCAGCTTTCGGCTGCCGCGGCACCAGAGCCAGGGGGCAGGTGGATCCACCTCCCCCGGCAAGCGAGCCGCCGGCCCGAACGGCATCCAACCTCCACGCCCCACGCGGGACCATGCCCACGGGGGTGGCCCCCATCCCTCCTCCTCCTCCTCCTCCCCCGCCGTGCCGTGCCCACACCACACCACACCCCCCCTCACACCCCCCCACCGAGGCCGCTACCGGGAGGCGCCCGCCCGGCTCCCGGCGGGAGCATCGCCCAGTCCCGTCCCGTCCCGTCCCGTCCCGTCGCGCGTGGGGCCGTGCCGCGGCCGCCCCGCCCCGTGGCCGCCCCCGCGGCCATCCCCGTCCCGCCCCGGCGGGCGGTGCTGCCGCCGCCCCCGCTCCCAGCAGCCCTTGCAACCGCCTACAATGAAATTTGCGAAGTTTTTTCGGTTTCGGCGCCATTTTCGAGTGGACTCGGAGGTGAGGAGGGAGGGAGGGAGGGCGGGCAGGGCGGCGGGGCCGGGGCGCCGCGGGGGGCCAACAGCGTGTGCCCCCCCCTCACCCCCCCCCAATTTTCCCTCTCCCCTCAGCGGGCGGGACGGCCCGGCCCGGCGGGGGGGGGGGGGGGGGGGGTGCGCTGCGGGGGGGGGGGGGCACAGCGCGGTCCCCTGCGCCGCCGTGGGCGGGGTCGCGCCGCTCCCCCGGGTGGAAGTGTGTGTGTGCGTGCGTGCGTGGGGAGGTGGCACAGAGATAAACTTGAGGGGACACACACACTCTAAAAAAAAAAAAAAAACTTTTTTTTCGGGGGGGGGGGGGGGGCGGTGGGAGCGGAGGCAGCGAGAGCTCCCCCCCCGCCCGCGCGGCGCCGCCCCGCACAAAGGCGGCCCCGGGTGGGGGGGGGGGGGTGGGGGGGAGGGGGGATGGGATTTGGGGGGGGGGGGCGGCCCGTGACGCAGCGGGCAGTGACAGCGGGAGGGGGGGGGGGAGCGACGAGCGGGGCGGTGCCCCCCCCCCCCCCCCCCGCCGGACCGTTAGGGCGGGAGCGGCGAGCAGGCGCCTTCCCCCCCCCCCAGCTCCACGCGTGTCCCGCGCCGTGGGACGGTTCCCACGTGGGTGCAGGGCTTCCCCCTCCCCCCCCCCCTCCGCGGGACACTTCTTTTTATTATTAATTTTTTTAAAAAAATGTTTTTGGTTTATGTTTTGTTTTTGTTTTTTGTTTTTTTTTTTTGGCGTCGCGGGGAGCCGCGCCCGCCCCCCGCAGGTGTGGCTCGGGGTTGTTTTGTTGTTTTTTTGTGGGTTGGTTTGTTGTTTTTTTTTTTTTTTCTCCTTGCCCGTTTCTCTCTTTTTTTTTTTTTTTTTTTTGAAAGAAAACCGGGGAGCCCGCTGGCTGCCGGCCCCCACTTGGCGCTGGCGTCGGGCCTGCGCACCCCCACGGCCCCCCCCGCTCGGCCCCAGCACCCACTGCCACAGCGGGCATGCATGAGAAAACAGTTTTATACATTAAAAAAAAAAAATACTAGTATAACCAACAAATTATTGGTGAAATAATTTTTTTTTTTAATTGGCATACAGCTTTTGCCTTTTTTTTTTGCTTTTTTTTTTTTTTTTTTTCCCTCCCCTTTGCTGGTTACTTGCTTTGTACAGGAAATTTGAATATCCTGGCAAAGGCCGACTTCCAAGCGCAGCTTTGCTGCGGTGATGGGAGCAACACGGGCCGTGCTGTGGGTTTTTTCCCTTTTTATTTGATCTTAAATACCGTATTTTTCCCCACACCTGCATCAGGTATATAAAGACGATTTTTTTGTGTTTGGAGAGCGAGTTTTCCAAGGTTAAAACATGAATTGCTTCCCCTTCCCCCCCCCCCCCCCCCCCCCCCAAAAAAGAATTGTGCTTGTGTTGTATGTGTGTACGTGTGTAGGTGAGGGACCATCTGCCAAGTTTCATCGTCTTCTGCTCTGAAGAAACCCAAAGAACTCCATTGCTCACCATCAACTGCGAAAGTCTGTATTTAGTTAATCCACTTTGGTGGGAAATACAGTAAAACTGAACTGCTAATGCAATAAACATTTATGAAATATAAGAGGGAAGCTTTAAGTAATGCTTCAGGCGAACTGACCCAAATATAAAAAAAAAAAAAAGTAAAATAAATGACTGTGCTTGTTATGGTTTGAATTAATGTTCATCTGACAAAAAAAAATTTTTTTTTTTTTTTTATCTCTTCTGTTCTTAACAAATAAACTTTTAGGAATCGGGCTTCCAGATCTGTCCCTTGTTGTTTAAAACTGGATGAGATGACAATGCAAAAAAATGGAAGTAACAAGAAGCATCATACTTTTCTTCTCCTCAGCAGTGTTGAGAAAAAACTGTGGATCCTGGAATTTTACTGTGGATTTTACGGGTTTTCTGGAGTACTGTAAGTTGAAGTCTTATCCCGCAGGCCTTGGCGAGCACCAGGAGCTCTCCGTCATATTAACAGCCTCGTCTCGATAAATACAGCTGATCCTGCCGGTAACAATATCAGGGGTCGAGTTTCAAATTAAGTAAAGTTAACGAATTAATTTTTTGCCTTATTGGAATTGGCCCCCTGTAGCTGCAGCTTGGTTTCGGGTGTTCTGCCCCACCTAAGAGCACGTTAGCGTGTGGTTTAACGCGCGGAAGGTACGCCGTGCTAAAATTAAAACGCAGCGCTGCTACGCTGGTAGCTATCTGAAATACGCGCCGGCGCCGCTCTGACCTTTTTCTGGGTGAGGGGGAAAAAATATTTTTAATAAAGCGTACGAGCAGCTATCCGCTCTCGCGTAGCTTTGACATGGGAGCGGGGAGAAAATGCGTTTTAGGCATTTATTTAGTGGCAGCTGAAGGCGCGTGGCGCGATGTTCTGGCCCCCGGGAGATGCGCCGTGGGTGCCCCTGCAAATGGAAGTAGCTCGGCCGTGGGCAGTTCCCACGCGTGGCTGCTCGTGCTCCTTACCAGTCGTTTCTCCCCACGCAGCCCTCGCTTCACTCCAGGCGCCGTGCGGGGCAAGTCCCGTCGGAAACGGAGTAGCTGGAACCGTTCGCTGGTTGTCGATCAAGCGTCCGGCCCGATTCCAGCTACATCTGTAAATATTAATACGTGACTTTTGTTTGAATTTCATCGTTCAAAGGAATGAAAGTGGTGTGATTTTTTTTTTTTTTTTTTTTCTTCTTCACACCCAGGCAGATACAAAGTGTTGCGGTGGTGCTACTCGCCCCCTTATTTTCGTTTTGTTACCGTAATTGTGTCTTGCTAATTAATGTCTGGGACTTTCAGCTGTAACGAGATGATTTATTTTAGTCTCTTTGTAAAATAGTAAATGCCTTTTTTTTTTTTTTTTTTTTTTTTTTTAATTCTTCTTTCAAATTAGAACAATGACTACAGGATTTGTTTGTGCATGTCTCCTGAAAAACTATTCGATAGCAGAGCTCAGGGTTTTTTTTCCTGTGCTTTTTATATATACATATATATATATAGGAAATGCTCGATATTTAATTGTCTTTGAGCTTACCTAGCCCTGAAGTGTGCGAGCCGGTGAAGGCTCTGTATGCAAATCTGCCCTGTCATGGGCTCCTGTATTTATTTCCTTTCCTTTCCCATGGCGCTCTTTTTCACTTTTTTTTTCTTTTTTTTCTGGTTACAGTGTCAGCGAGGAGGGACTAGGTTGTGTTTTAAGGGAACCCTGTATTTCAGGGTGAATTCGTTTTGGTTCTGTGCGTGTTTGGGCTTGGGGCAGAGGGGGTGCTTTTTACTTAATTGCCCAATATACTTTGGCAAGCAGAAGTTGCATTGTTTAATGAACTACATTAATAGATTTCTGCATGTTCAAATTCCCCAGTTATTTGGGGGATTTAATTAAAGCCCCGTAGGTGGCTGGCTTACGTAGATGACAGGTAGAAGTCTCAATTGCTAGAAATAGCTGGTGTGCACACCGCAGGCGCGGAGCTAGTGGCAGCAGAAGAGCTCTTGCAATCCTTTTGCATTGAGCTGGAGCTTTTGGGGCAGTTCTCTTAATATTTGGGGCTACCGGTGCAGCGGCACACCCCTTTTTCTGGCCGTGGTGGGGTGCTGCTCGAAGTTTGGGGTGCTCCTGGGACGCTGCCTCCACCCCGCCCCCCCAGCAGCTGATTGCCCAACAGTGCCACCACAAAAACCCCAACCCCCCAAATAGCCTCTCTGCCTTCTTCCCTGCTTATCCCAGCCCTGGTTTATCACCTCAATCAGCAGAAATAAGATGTTCCCTTTGCTTCTGGTCTGCCAAGACCCATAGGTTCTTGCTGCTGCTGTTTTAACCCCTTCAGGGAGGGGAGGGGGGCTTGCTGCCAACCCTGGTAGTGCCCGGTGGCTTTCCCACTCCCCCCACCCCTGGTTTTGGCTGGCAGGAGCCGTGTCGTCCCTCCTTGCTGTACAGCACCGGGGTACGATTCGGGGTCACCAGTGCACCTGGGGTACCACTGCCAGTAGCCCCGGCTGCAGGAACGGGGAGAAACAGGGGGGGAGGGAGGGACGCGGTCGCTCTTCATGTGCTGCTTCACAGTCTGCCTTGTCTGGCGGTGAAAACTTGGTTTTGTTGTTTGTTTGTTTTTTTTGGTTTTCCCCCTAATTTTAAAAATGCTTGCACACCGCACCCCCCCGAGCCTTTGTGGTTTCTGCATGCCTGGAGGAGAGGGGGGTGATGGCTCTGCGAGCGCCTCGTAAATCCTTCTGTGTTTTGCTCCCTAGGCTCCCGCCGCAAGGGCGAGCGCCTCGTGCGCGGGGACGGGCGGCGCGGGAGGAGCCCAGGCGCCCGCGCTGGGAGGTGAGTGGGGAAGGTAAGCTCGCGCCTCCGCCCCGCTCCCCTCTGGAGAAGTGGGGGTTCCTCTGCGACGCCTCTCCCGCTGCGGGGAGGGGCCCGAGGGAAATCACCCTGCCCCGCTGCCGCCTTCCTGATTTCACCTTGAGAATCCAAAGCGCACAAACTAAGTTTGAAAGAAGTTAAAAGCGCGAGATGACACGATTCAAACGTAGAGCTTGACGGCCTAGAATAATTCTGCTGTCATGCCGTGAACACCCATGTTTTCTCAGATACCGATTTCACCGCCTATCCCAAATTTCCACTGGCCCGGCGCTCGGTGTGAATGTTGATTTTTCTCTGTGCTAGAGTAGGCTGGTGGCGTGCGTTGAACCCGCGCTTTGGAAAGTCCTCCCGGCTAAAGAGAGCTCTTACCCCCCTGTCAAACTAGGCTAAAGACTGGGGAATTTTTTTAGATAGAGCTACAAATACAAACACGCATTAAACATGAACCTCAACCGCGATCAAAATGGATTCTAGAGCTGAGCTTGGTTGCAGCTGGCATTTTGGAGGGTTTTGGTTTTTTTTTTTTTTTGAGTCACTTGAAGAGATCAAAGAAATAAAACTACGTAGGTACAATCCAGTAAAACATTGTTAGAGAAAAAATGGTAAAATTATGCAGGGGGGTTGTTTTGTTTTAGCTTGTACAGGTTTAACTTTCCCTGGGTACTTGGCTTTGCACTAAGTAGCAGTTGCTCGTTCGAGAGTTGGACCTGGTGCTATCGGTATTGAGGGCACCGAAGTAAAAAAAAAAAAAAAAAAACAAACCCAAAAAAAACAACCCCAAACTTTTTTGTTGGCAAATATTTGATTTAAAATTTGCAATGATTTGGCACAGGTCACAAGAGCTTTTGAAATTCCTATTTTTAAGTTTGTTAAACAGGCAGGGACTAGGAGGAGGACAAACTGGAACTCGGCTAAGCGGCGTGTTTAGCGCGAGGGGACGGCACAAGCATTCGAACTAATGGCGTCATTTCTGACATTGTTCATTTTTTTTATGTGATGCTGCTTTTTAAGAAAATGAATTGAAGGAAGTTGTCACATAACTGGGGGGGGGGGGGGGGGGGGGAAGTCAAAAGGAAACACAAAAAATGTCAGGCTATCTGCACAGCCCTCGCAGGCTGGCGTGCAAGTGCCGCTGGCAGCCGCGTGCTGCTGAGCCGCAGCCCCCTTTCTCCTTTCTGCCCTGCGCTGGTATTTTCTTTTTCTGGTACAGGCAAGGCAGGCTGTGAAGTCCCAGAGTATCTTTAATTTCTAGTCGCATAAGATTTGTCCATTCAAACAGTAAGTGAGCATAATCTAGTCCTTAAACAAGTGGGTTTTTCTTTTTAGATTTCTCAAAAGTCATAATGAACTGAATAAAAATATTTTAAGGAAAACTTAACGGGTTTGAACTGTTGGAATCTGGATTTATTTATCTGAAGTATTATCGTTGCAACTCCTGGAAAATCCTTGATGTTCAACAGCCCTTAAGAGGAAAGTACAAGGTAACATTTCCCCACAGACCACCTGGACAGGCCAGGAAGGTCTGCAGACTCTTTACAGTAGCAAAAGCAGCAGATCTGCTAGATCTGAAAGTGTAGATTTGGTGGTACCCAACTACGAAGTATGCTTTGGGGGTGGGGGAACAGTTAATTTCTGATTTTGTTTCTGAAACTGGTTTGTTTGCACTGTGTAACTGCTTGTTCTCTTATAGTTACAGACTTTCTGATAGCACCCACGAAGAAAAAAAAAAAAATGTCCCGTGGTGGTAATGCATGCACGTTAAATGTCTTCATTGTAGAGTGTTCTTCAGTACCTTATGTCATGGTTTTAAAAAAAATATATATATATTCAAAATACCATTTGGAATGTCAACATTCAGTGGGCTTTGAGGAGATGTAGCAGCACATCATGGTTTGTAGGGACAAGGAGATACAGACCATTCTGGGCTGCCTCATTACCTCAAGGATAAGACAAGAAAGTGAGCTTCTGGTTATCATAGATGTGGAAGCTAACTCATTCCCATGTATCTCTTTAGTTGAGTTGAACAGGTACGTGTAGATAAGTTCTCTTGGTGCTTGTATCTGTGCACATCCTTCGCAGCTGCAAATATATTCCCGATGAGTTTGTGTGTGTTTGTGTCTCGGCGGGGCCGGCCCCCGCAGGCAGGAAGGACTTGTAGCTCCTTTTTGTTCTCCAACGTGGGCATGGCCGATGTTGGCTTGAGCACTGTGCCTTCGGCTGGTGCCTTACCCCTCACCTCTTGCTCTTTGGTCCTTTTCCCTGGCACAGGATCCTCTGGCCCACTGTGGTTTTGGGGGGGGGGAGGGGGGGAAAGGGGGGTTTTGGGGGGGCCGGGGAGAGGCGGTAGGATGGAGAGCTGTCAGCAGTGCTCTAGCAGCACGTAAATACTGGAGTTTGGGATTGCCTGTTGCTCTCCAGTATTGCATTGCTGCTTTAGTGAGGCTGGAAATTGGTCCCTGCTGCAGGAGCTGGGGCTTGGGGGGGGGGGGGGGGTGGCTTCTCGGCACCCCCACGGCGCCTTCCACCCCGCTGCGTGGGGGCTCTCATCTCCCACACCAATAAACCACTGCGGAGGCAGCAACCAACCAGGGCTTGGTGTCTTTACTGGGGAGGAGGGGGGGATGCCCCCTGCCACCCCCGTGCTGGTGGGTACCTGGTGCCAAACATCTGGGGTGGGGGGAAGGAGGGAGGGCAGGGGGGTTCTAGGGGCTAATGCTGGCCCCGGGGTGCTGGTCCCTAGGTGCACCGTGCCTCCAGCAGCTGGGGAGGGGGTGGCCGAGGGCTGGTGGGGACTGGAGCTTCAACGGGGAGGGGGAAGGAGAAGGGGGGGGGGGGGGGGGGCTGTAGTTGTGCCTGGGGAAGCCCTGCCAGGGGAGGGATCGTCTTTTCCCCCAGCCCCTGCAGCCCCCCCGGCTACTGTTGGGGTACCCCGGTCAGCCCCAGCCCCCCTGCAGCATCTGTCAGCGCTGGGAAGAGTCGGGAGGTTTCTCTGCAGGCCCGTTGCTGCACCAGTGAGCTCCTCCAGAGCAAGCCCAGCCCCAAGGTGAAAGGGATTTTGGTTTTGTTTGTTTTTTTGGTTTTTTGGTTTTTTTTTGTACCTTTCTCTGCACCACTCGCAGCTTCACAACCCTGGTGGGAGCAAGGGCTGGCCGCAGGGTCCGCCGTGGGGTCAGGGATGCTCCTGGGAAGGGCTGGGGTGGTGCCTTCACGGTCAAGCATCCAACTTCTGCGGCGGGAGGGAGGTTCCCCGTCCTGCCCGCGATGGTGCATCGCTAACAGCCCCCATCCTGCAGGCTCCTGTTGAGCGCCGGTGGCTGTGAATCCCAGAACATTGTTGGTTTTTTTTGTTTTTTTTTTTCCAACTATTCTTAGGAAATAATAAATCACAGGCAAGGGTTGTGGGGCAGAGGGGCGGGAGGGGAGTATCCTCTTGCTGATTTGCAGCTTAATCGCAGCTCTTGGTGCTCATCGGTACCCCCAGGAGATGAGCCCGAGGACACCCCCCCCCCCCCAGCACACAAAACGTTTCTAGCACAGGGGGGGTGCAAAAGGCGTGTGTGTGGGTCGGAGCAGCTTTTAAAAGCCTCTGCCTACGAACGGGTCCAAGGCACAATATTTGGACACACAACCAGCCCATTTCAAATGGAACATCTGTATTCTTTCACTCGTGTCTGTAAAATGGTTTATTCCCGCTTTCTACAAGTCAAACCCTTAATTGCCATATAAAATGCTGCTTTCCCTCAGGAAAACAAGTTAGTAACTTGGTTTACAGAGAAATTGGTCAGTAAAGTGATTAATTCTGTACCTCTATACTTCTAAGAATTTTTACATCAGATTTTTTTTTATAAAAGTTTTCTATTAGCATTTATAGATGGGGTGTAAGAGTTAAAAATCAGTTTATTCCTTTTTTTTTATATCTTTCTGTTGTGATCAATTTGATTTTACTCAGCTAGAAAAAGAGATTTCCACCTCACAAACAGAAGACTCCTGCTAAAACAGCGCTTTCAGGCTACGGTCTCCTGCCAGGATCAAAACATCCTGACAGTAACGGGAGACTATAAAACACCGCGGAGTTTTCGGATCAGCGGGTGAGAATAAAATTTAGAGGCTAAATCAAGCCAATAGGACAAACGATCCCAGGGGGGACAGCAAGACGCGCCGGTGGAGGTGGTTTTGGGGGGGGTGAGCAGCAGCGAGGCGTGGGAGCGGTCCCTGCCCGCCCCCGGCTCGGGGTGCTGGCTGTGCCGCGGCCGGGGATGCGGGGATGCAGGAGCGAGGGCTGAGGGTGCAGCTCGGGTACCACAGAGCCCGGCGGGCGCAGGCAGCTCCCTGCTGCTGCTCCCAGAGCCTCCCGTCTGCTCCGCTCCAAATATTTCGGGATATTGCCAATTATTAATACAGAAAGCCCAGGGGGGTAGACATCCAGCCGCGCTTTTCTGTCTGAGAAGCTGGCGAAGCTCCTGTCGCTTTTCGCCTTAAAAGTTTGCCTTCAAAGTGGTTTCAGGTTGACTGCAAGCACTGGTTTTCGCTACTGCATTTGAGCACAAATCACTTTTTTTTTTGTTGTTTTTGTTTTGTTTTTTTTTTTTTTTTTAAAAAAAAAAAAAAAGCACCAAACACCCTTGCAGAGCATCCCTGCTCTGGCTTCAGTCGCCCCAAGACCCGTGTGGCAGCGCGGCACCGCCGAGCCAGGGGCAGCTCTGCTGAGCGGCGTGCAGCCATGCAGAAGGGCAGCAGCACATGCAAAGCGGCGCGGGCAAGCTTTCCTGTTTGCACAGGGTGAAGGGAGATGTATTTTGGTGGGGGTTAAACGTGAAGTCTGCTGTATCAGGAATGTATGTGACCACTGTGGAGGAAAAGTCTTCGCGTTTCCTCAGTAGTTTTTGGTGTGAGTTTATAAAACAGGCTGGAAGGCGGCGGTTCCCTGTGGGGGGTAAATTCGTGCAGCACATCATTACACCGCTGCGCGGCTGCTGGGTTTAGTAGGTAGACACTAGACAAGCTTATTAATTGCACACTTCTACAGCAATCTTTTTTTTTTTTTTTTTAATTTCACCCAGACCGAAACCCTCCCACATACTAAGTCTGAGGTTATGTTACTCTGCTCACAGTACCAGGTACCTCCATCAGAGAGGTGGTGGTGTGGGAGCCAAATGAGGTGTTGCAGACTCCTGTAAACACTGAAAAAGCAACCCCAAAAGCCACCTTATCTACCTTCGGCGTTTTCCTGTTCACCTCCTTTGATGCAAAAGGAATTTTTGGCAGAGGTTAGCAGCTCACTGTGGTATCCAGCATTATCTTGCTTTCCTTGCACATCTTGCCCACCCACCTCAGCTCACATCCAGCAAGCCCTGAGCCAGGATTGGCTTTTGTAGGTGTTTGTGCAGTGCCTTGCAAGAAGTTCAGGTCTTGCTCTTTGCACTGTAGAAGAGAAGAAACACTTTATATGTCTTGCCCGCTCTTAGCAAAGGTAATTCTGGCTAAACTGACCCTTAACTGTGTACCTAGTTAGGCAGCTGGCTTCAGTGGGAAGCCACCAGTATCTCAATGCAAAGCTGCATGAAAGAAGAAAATTTTGGGTTGAATTAAACAGGGCAAGTGGCAGCCCCGTGGCAAAGCAGAAGCCAGGTCAGTGGCTCTGCCAGTAAGGGTTTGCTAAAGCAAGAGTGCAAGGACCAGGGTAACCAATGGCACTGGCACCTTGCTGGCTCGGTGGTTCTTTGCAACCAAACGGCAGAAAAAATACAAGTTTAAGTCTTTTAATTTCCGAAGCAAAGTGTAAAACATTGCTCTTGGCAATTTCTCACATAAACCCAGTCTCGTGCGCCGGTCGGGTAACAGCATTTTAAAGGTTACTCAAAATACGATTCAAGTAGAGCATATATTCATTTATAAACTGTCCAGAATTCTCATGCCGTACGCTCTGCGAGAGAAAACAGCTCCCCCCTCAGACTGAAAAGAAATTATCTGTGTGTGCGGGACTGCTAGGCAAGGTCGGATGGCAGGGAGGGGACTAGGGGGTGTGGAAGGTGCAGCTTAGACCGGGTGAGGGGGGGTGTGTGTGGTTATTCTTTACTAAACAGCCCAAGATGGTTTTCTAATTGGAATCGTTAGGAGTTTACACTGCAATGACAGTTCTACCTCATATTTTGGATTCTCTGATTGCTATGGGGAACTTTGCATTTTGTGAATGGAAGAGAAAGAATTGGCAAGAAAGGCAATTGAGGAGAAAAGGTCTGACCAAGGCGCTTGCAGTGCACGTTTGAAAGTGTGCACGCACACCCCCCCCCCCCGCTGCCCCCCATACCCTCCTCCTCCCCACCTTAGGGCTGGCTTAACCGCGTTCCAGCTCCTCCGCTGGGATACAGGCGAGCGAAGCATCGGCACCGGCATCGCTGCTCCGGCGCTTCCCAGGCCCCAGCAGAAAGCGCAGGGATGGCAGCGCGTCCCACCAGTGCCCAGAAAGTCTGTTCCCAGGGAAAACCATTTTATCCCTCTCTGACCTGAAGGTCAGCTAAGCCAACAGGTAGCGCTGCCGAGAAAGCCCGTCCCGGCTGCGCGGCACGGCACAGGGCGGCTTCCCGGCGGACACGGGGGGGGGGGTGGCTGGGGGAGCCAACCCAACCCCACGGCAGCAGCTGCAGCCGCCACGCAACACGCGGGGCGCTGGCACGCTCTCCCGTGCAAAATCGGCGGGGAGACGTGGTGCTTTCAGCTTGCAGGGCTGCAAGAGGGTGAAGTCAACAGGGCGACTTCACTGCCGCGCGTGGCGAAGCGTTGTGGGAGAAGTCAGTTTTGGCCAAGTCTCTTCCGAAAGCAGTTCTGCAGCATTCCCACCCGAGATTTCAGGATTGGAACTTGGGCATGGATGAGGTGCCCAGCCGTAAGAAGCTTGCCTAACAGAGCTGGGACTGGAGTTGGAAGTAGATGGTTCCTTATTTAATAGCTCATTCCTTATTTATACACACAGACAATATCTATCGGGGTATTTTCCTGGCTATGTGTGAAGGGCAGGGGTGGGGAATCACTGCCTGCAGGAGGGCACCGACCCTCTGGTTCAAAAAAACCTCAACCCACACCCAACGCCCAAAGTTGTAGCTTATACACACACAGCGATTTGCTACAGGCAACCTGCAGCTCTGCAGAAGACAGAAGATGTTTGGGTCCCTTTCTGGTTGTAGCGGGGGAAAAAAAAAATAAAGATGCCACCAGTGATCACTCATTAGATAAATACCAGCCTCTTACTGGAACGGGTTCATCTACCCGCAGCTTGATTCACTCGCCGTTGCAGGCCTTGCTGCTCCCACCCGCTTCCGTGAGGATTTCCACCTTCCCAGGTGTTTTCGCTTTGCCAGCCGGTGTTTTACCCCAGCAGCCCAGCCTGGAGCACAGCCTGTGCACAAAGGGTGTTTGCACCCACTCCCGTGCAGCCCCACCACGCACCCTGCACCCGCTTCTCGGCAGCTTCCCCAGGGATGAAAAATCCTCCCTGCCAGGTCGTGCAGCGCGCTGCATCTTTGTGCTCTTCCAGCCCTGCCCGCTTCACCTCGGTGTCAGCGAGGGCTATTTCACTGGCTACTGGCATCTTTACAGAGCTAGGAATCAATTTCCCCATCGGAATAGTCAACAGACTATATCTGCTGTGAGATTAAATAAATTTAAAGGCATTAAATGCTATACACACACACACACAAAAAAAAAAAAACAAACAAACAAAAAAAAAACCACCACCAACAACAACAAAAAAGACCACTGTGATGTTTCCTTTGCTTAAAAAAGTACTTGGGTACAGCTGAGATCTGCTCTTGCAAGGTGCAGCCTGAATGAGAATGAAAGGCAGGCAGACAGGGCAGGAACAGTCCTTTAATAAATCGCGAGTAACCAGCTCCCTGTGAGCAGTGTCAGGTCCTCGCTGCTGGGTTAGTGCGTGCTTGACAGGATTTTCAGAGCATAATAGACAAGGAAACACCGCCAACGTTTAATCAGTCGGGATATACAATTACAAGGCAACTTGGAGATCCTCATTTGCCTCCATCCGCAAAACCAGGATTCGCCCCCCCCAGCGCGAGCCGCCAGCTCCGTTCACATAAAGTCCCCACCACGCCTCCCGGCTCTGTCCAGAGCACTTCAGATTCTGACTGGTGTGAATTTAAAGCAAGAAGAACAAACACTCCCGGCCAGAGCTACCCCTGCGCGGTACCCAGCCAGGCAGCGGCAGCGGTCTGCGGCAGGCGAGAATTATCAAAATGTACAGAAATGCCAGATGTCACGGGGTGAGACACTGGAGGAAAGCCTATAAATATTCCAAATTATTTTTTCCAGCATACATTTGTGATTCATAAAATGTGGAACTATAATGAATTTCAAATGCCACATAAATGTTCAAATACAAGATTTTTCTCTGTGCTTTCGTAACGCTTTTAACAATGTATGTCTGGGTTGCATGAAGCTGGCATTTAACTTGCGAAGGTGTGACTAGAGCCCCAGCAAAATTACTGAATAAAAAGTAACAATTGCATTTTCAGTTTATTTCAAGTGAGAATTTATCCTCCCGTAGAGCACGTGCAGGTGCTGTAAAAGCCTGCGGTGTCAGGACTGGGCTAGCAAGGGCGAGAAAGCGGGTAACTCCTCCTCTGAACAATTTTCACAGAAAAAGCTTTTGAACAAGGAATCCCTCTGGGGTGATAAACTTCCTCTGACAAGCGCCTCGGGGAAGGAAGTGCCTGTTCCCCAGCATTTGAAATGTGGGAACATTCAGTAAGATTATTTTTATTTTTTTGTTTAATATTGGCCTTTTCCATCGCTCGCAGGCGAGGTCTGTTGGGTCAGGTGGCATCTTCCCCAACCACTCCTGTGCCTGCGCCACGGGCACGTGCCCACGCAGGGCCAACCCCCAACACACCAGGCACTTCCCCGCTCCAGCCACAGTTTGGAGGATAAACCTTTTGTTATGACTACCCCGCCCTCTCCTCCCTTAACCATCCTAACCAAGCCAGGAAAACATCTCAGGATAGACTAATTTAAGAGTTTTGTCCTAAAAGATACCGAAAATCGTCAATTCTCATTGTTTTGATGTGTAAATATATACTTTTAAGCCACCTCTCTCTTGTAATCTCTAGTGTCATGAATTTATTTGAAAACGCATTGTGAAGTAGGAACTATTAACAAGGCTGAAGAAACATCACTTTTTAAGATTAGACATCAAGTTCAACCAGAACCAGTGAAAACTTGAGCAGATATAATAATTCACGAGTGGGTTTATATTTTTTTATATATTTATATATATATTATATACGTTACTTTTGTGTTTCCTCTTCTTGGAGATGCATCAGGTATTTTTGCAACAAGTTGCCCCAGGGACAGTACAGGTTCTTGAAAAGGCATATGCACAAATGGTATTGAGGACATCGAGAAATACAATCGGCCTTTGTAGAGCATTTAGAAAAAAAGCTCCCTGGACATGAAGTATAACATTGCAAAAGTACGGTATAATCACCACCAGTGTTCTACTATTTGCTATTGAGAATTTTGATTTACAAACAGACACACTGTGGTCATTTGATCTAAATTACACCGCGTGTATCACTCGTGTTTTAGCTCTCCTGCTAACTGCTGCAGCTGGAACCGAGCACACCATGGGTGGACAGCAATGCCGCAGTACTTGGAAAAGTACAGAAACATGAGTCAAACTTCAAAACCACAGAAAAAGCTTTCAAAACAGGCTGGCAAAAACTTCCTCATCTATTAAGCACCGAGCAGCGGTAAATCTGAGCATAGAGTGGAAGAATCCACGCGCAGAAGTACCAGAACCACGTAAACCAAGGGACCTAAAAGCACGGCCCAAGGACGAGGTGTGAGATGGGCTGACGTGTTCAGAATTAAACTCAACACGAACAGAGCTGTTAATGATACAAACCCAAACCATCACTTACAAAACGGTTGTGGGTTTGTTTGGTTGGTTGGTTGGGTTTTTTTTAATTTTTTTTTTCCACGTGTCTATGTTTAATGAATGTCTAATCTCCACTCTTCATTTTTGCCAACGCAGAACAAAGGACAGTGCTTAAACCATTTTCTCTGAGATCTAGTTTGTTTATAAAATATGCAAGTGTTTCGATATTTCTCCTCAGCACTTTATCATCTCTCTTGTAGACAGGATAATATTAACCAAAAGCTCTACAAAGATAACAAATGTAGAGTCTGCCTTCACTGTCAGAAACATTTATGAAAAATATTACTGAGAAGAGCACTTTACTATACAGAATGAGTGGCATAGATGTATGGGGCTTATTTTAAAGAGACAGCCTTTATTTAAAGTACTTTGTCTTGTAGATCTTATAAAGTAAACATTACAATACTTTTTCACAAATATATTAAAATTGTTTAAATTTAAAAGGCAATTCCACTGACTGATGGATATTTTAAAAGAAAAAAAAAAAATCTAACAGAAACAGGCAGCTCAACTACAACTAGATCTTAAATATTCTGTTTCGTCATTCCACCTCCCTTAATAAAAAAAAAAAAAAAAAAAAAAAAAAGAGACATTTTTCACCCAGACTTCCTTTTACAGCAATAAGGCAATTCCAGGAGATGTGAATGAGCTCCTTGGAGATTACAGATACTGTAACTGGCTGCTCCTCATGCTTTATAACACCCAAAGGTGCAACTATCCATTAATCACAATCACATCTGTGCATTATAATATAAAACTTAAATTACAGATTTTAAAAATATTACTAATAGACTTCCCTATCATAAAATGCTTTACATTTACAGTACTTGAACTATTTCAGTTCTGGGTTGATGAGGTTTAAGCAATTTACCACTGCAAGAGTTAGACTCTGGAGCTCACAAACAGCACAACCCAACCAGGGGCAGCAATAGTCGGTAGAGTCATAGTGCAAATCAAAATAAGGAGTGCAGAATTGCACTAGTTGTTTACATTTCTAAAATATAAATGAACAAGACGAGCTCTTATAATGTACATGCAATAAATTATAGTAAGCGTCTGACAATGGGGCTGGGGCATTCTACAATTTTAGCTGGTGTACCAGAGTTGAAGCCTGTGAAAGATAGGACTCGGTAAACAAAACATTTCAAAGCTCTGTTGTCATAGCACTTGAACTATGCTTTCACGCTTTGTACTTCTGCTTCCCCGTCTCGCTGATCACACAGATATGCTGAAACAAAATAAAATGAAAAGCTCCTGTTAGAAAAGTAACGTAAGAGACGGGTGGTTTACATCTGTAGTCAATCATGTGCTTCTGAAAAAAACACAAGCATGCTATTCGCGTTTCAGTATGAAAGAACGTTGTAATACTGTTTATGCAGAAAACCTTGAGCCTTTTTTTGTCTAAAAAAATCTCAACATTGCCTTCTTTCTCCTCGCCCTAACTGTCCCGCCCCACGTCTGGTGAGACCCGGATGAAGAGTTAATGACTGAGAATAAAAAGTCAACCCCTCTTGACTCCCAAGGTCTCTCTTCTCTAACTCTTACGTATCTAAGCAAGTGCACTTATTTGTTGTAGGCATCTGCTAAGGTAAGAAGCTTCCCACAAACTTCACGTTATTTCAAAGTTGACAGGAGATGTGTAGCCTCCATTCTGCACGCAGCAAAATAAATTTTAGTTTCATAGGAGTTCCAAAACGCTGTCCTGCCGCTCTAGGGTTTGCTCCCATCGTTGCATCACCAATGGAACAGATTTGCACGAGGCACGATTTACAGAGGAGGGAGAGTGATGTGAGGAGACTTCCCTTCCTTCCTCCTCCCTCGTTTTAAATGGACAAAAACATACGGGAAAAATTACTTACGTTCAAATCTCTAAAGTATTCATTGTAATCTAGGGCGTATCCCACAACAAATTTGTCTGGCACTTCAAATCCAACAACTGAAAAAGACCGTAAGTCACCAGTATGTTAGAAAGGAACTTCCTAGAGTTCACTAGACCTTTTTATAGAAGCAATCTAGAATTTTATAGATATGTAGGCATCCTAACTAATTTTATTTCTTCCATTCAAGTACCCTCAGATTAACATTCGAGCTATTTTAAAATTTTAACTTACTTTGCTGATTTAATTTATCAACTGAAACCGAATTAAATAGAGGCATTTATTGGTGCCCAGGCAGCAGCATGGTGCTAGCATGCAGTCTGTAAGAAATGAATGGAAGCACTTAAATCAACACACAGAGTACGATTACCAGAACGTAAAATTCCTCGAAAATTTCCTGCAATTTTGTAAATACATGCAAAAAGAGCCGATGCTCCCCAGCACTTCCTAGCTGCTTGGCATGCCAGGGCAGAAGCAGTGGAGCTGGTGAGCACGGCACAAGTGACCCCCCCAGCAGCAGCCAGAGGGCAGCGCCCCGGGCAGGGCTGCACGGGGGGGACCCAAGGGAGGGAGGAGAAGGCAGGTTCAGCCCTCGGCTCCTTCGCAACTGTGGGTGTGCGAGCCCAGCAGGACTTTCTGTGGAGGGCTGGGAGAGTGAGCACGGAGTAAGGTGAATGATCAGAACCACAGCTGTTGCAGGGAAACCAATCCTTCGCCTTTGAGTAACCCAGATGGACTCCACTCTTGCAGCTCGCAGGCAGTGACCGGGTCTGTAGGAATATACTATGACTGCTAAAGCGTGTCTTCGATGCTGAACCCGTGGCACAGACAATAGTGGAGAGCAAAGAGCACTCTGTTCTTTACGGAGTCACTTGCAAGCTTCAGAAACAGGTAAGTGTTTGGTTTGGTTTGTTTGGTTTTTTTTTCCCCCTGTGTGTCTGGTTGTGTTTTTTTTCCCTCCTACAGAGAAGCTGCCTAAAAAGAGGACATCAGCTATGCCACAGATTGTCTATGCAGCTCTAGCGGGACAGTTCGTGGCTGGTAAGGCAGCACCAACCCAACCTGACCACACACACTGTAAAATGACCAAAACAATACTGAATTATATAAAATATAAAAGTTCCAAATGGCTTTCTCTCCTCATGCTAAAACGAAAGACCCCTGAGCACAGGAAAGCTGCGCATTTTTTTTTTCTTCCTGGCTACAATAAGGGTCTGCAAGGAAAGTAGGGAGATAAATTGTGCAATTCAATGAAAAGGCTGTGTACACTTTTGGAAAAATTAAGGCAATGTTTAGCGTCTACCTGGCCTCACAATACAGGGGTAAAACAGAGGCCCGGCCATTACTGCCTCGTTGTCTCTCCTTTCAGAGCTCACGTGTCCTGCACTGAACAGGTTTTCTCTGTGGACAGATGGCAAAAGGAGTCATCTGCTGCAAGATGCTCAGATGGCAGACCGTTAACCCAGCTGAGCCTGTAAGAAGATCTCAGGAATGAGGGGGCACCCTTGGCTGGGGGGGAGCTCCTCCACCAAGCTTTAAGGCATTGACAAACTACAGTTCCAGAATACTGCACAGCTTTGGAGAGGAGGAGGAAGAGGATGTGATTCTGCTGCTAAATTCACTCCACTTCCACAGTGAAAGCAGACAGGCCAGATAAACAGGAATTTAGGGTTAAAACTCCCAGCCCCTCCCAAGGTAGGAGGAGCTGTTACCCTGGTACCACTGCCCCTGTGGGTGCTATTCCTTTCTTTATGGTCTTGGGACAGACAGCAGAAGACAAGAAGGGAGCAATTCAGATGCCTAGACGTAACCAGTGTGGGGCCAAATTCAGTTATTTTATCACTGTAAACTTTTATCAGACCTGCCATCCCGGGGGTGGTCCTCCCACCTTCCTGGGCACATCCAGCCAGCATGAGGTGGCAGGTTTAGGCACCCAAATCGCTCCCAGAAGTGTCAAAGGTGAATCCAGCAGATTCTGCTGACCAAAGCATTTGACTGCACGCAAGCTGGGAGAATTTGCACACGAAAAGGGTGTAACCCAGACCAAAATATCAAAGTTTGCTTTTCATATAGCAAAATGTTACAAAAAGGAAAAAAAAAAAAAAAAAGGATCAAACCAAATCCAGATTAACTCTGTCAAAATACATTGCAAATACTTAAATTCCCTAAATAAGAGCAAAATCTATTGAGAATCATTAGTGAAAACTTATTTGGAACATCCTAGGACTTTGACCAAAGGGTACACAATACATTTACATACTTTCAAAAATTAATAATGGTTGTCAAAAAATTACTTACAGTCTGGCCGATATCCCACACTTCGAGGAGTTCTTTTTACCAACAAACTGTCAAACAAAACCAATGTAAAATTGAAACATGGAAGAGCACCGAGTACAAGTCTATGAGACTGTTTTGACGGCAAACAAGCTGAATTTGGCCTAAATGTGAATAACCGAAAGCACAACTACGCATATTTTAAACTATTATTTTATTTGCAGGTGCAGCTGATCACAACAACAGGATCAAAACATCCTAGAACAATGAATGGTTCAGAGCCTGAAGGATAACTAACAGGTCTGCAAGAAAGAGGCTAGGAGATACTGATCTGGATGGATTTTCACTGTGAAAATTTAACGGGGATTTATGTGTGTAATGAACTTCAGGAACGATTTAGCTTACAGGTATAGAGGCGACAACTTGGGATCTGGCCAGACCAACTGACCTCTTTTCAAAAGCCTTAGTATTATGAAGCAAAAGTTCAGCTGCTTAAATGCAACCTCAATTCCATTTGTACAACATGTCCTCAACTGTTTTTCACTGGCGGTACTCATTATCCTCATAAAGAAAATGTAATTGGTTCTGACAGCCGGGTGATACAAACCAGCTCCATTTTTCCAGAATTAATTGTCAGAGGTGTAAAAAAGCATGGAGGTACAGAGCTGGGGGTATTGTAGCAGAGAGAGATGCCCTACTAGTTAAATTTGATTCATCCCACTTCTACCTCTTGGAAAACAACCCCACAGGCATGACACTTTTCTGTCTTTGAGATACAGAGACTTTGGGAGGAAAAGAAAAGGTGGCCAGTGGCTGAAGGTGAAGACAGAGGTCAGCATAACTCTGTGCATTAAACACAGACCTCCTTCCCTCCTGGAGGCAGGGCTTCATTTGTCAGTGTCACAGTTTCAATTTTAGACAGTTTCTGAAACTTGAAAGTTGTAAGACTTAATTTTTGAGAATTGGTGTACGGTTTGATCAAAGAAACCCTGAAATTGTAGCAGCATTAATACACACCTTTCTGCTACAACTGCTTAATTGTCAGAGAGAAAGAAAATAAAAAAGATACTAAAAAAAATTAAAAAAAAAAAAAAAGAAGAGAAGAGAGGCAATTGAAGTACCTAAGAACATTACACTTCAGACTATCCAGAACAATCATGTTTATCTGTTCAGGTCTTTGGCAGGCCCAAATTACTGCAACAGGTTTGAACAATAAGAAACTGGAGTTTGCTCAGACCGTGTGATATTCATAACGTACACCACAGTGCTAGGGCACTATTCAGTGACAAATGTTTAAAATTTGGCACGCTTAATCTGCCCAGGAAGAAACCCTAAACCACCTCACCTTCAGCAGGTCACCTCCAGATTATCAGCAAGAAGAGCTGTTCTTGTACATCTAACAACTGCTTTGACATTGTTATGGCAACCCAACTGATTGGATATTACACACAGCTCTGCTTTATCTCTAATCCCCAGCAATCTTTATGCTTTTATTGTAAAATACACAACCACATCTTAGCAGTGTAAAAGATGCAGTTTAAAAATAAGTAGGAGGAATGGTGATATTTGTTAATCATATAATAATATCCTCAACATTTCTTGTTAGTTGTAAGTTATTTAATTATAAAATGTTTTGAAACTAATTGATTAAAGATGTAACTAAGTAGAAGAGCCTGGAAGAACATATGGCTGGATGACTCTCACAGAATGACCTCTAAAGCTCAGCTGCACTATGCACACTACACAAACAATAATGTTAGTGTGCAAACTAATTTAATTCTGCAATTAAAGAAGGTAAACTAAAAAAAGGTCTCCATTGCACAGGTACACCACTGCAGTATACTGAAGCTGCAGATAGTGCAAGCAGAAACAAATGTGTTTGGATAGATACTAAATATACGTAAATGACAACCACTGATTTTTTTTTTTTAATCCCTACCTCTAGTAAAAGTCTACATCTATGAACTAAATTTGTGTTGAAAATACCTCTACCAACTTGAGAGGGTATTTTTTTTTAAGCCCAAAAGACTTAAATTCTTCCATATACTTCTAAACCTAACTTGGACTTCAGGAGTAAAACCCCACAAACGTTACCGTTACATGATAAGGCAAGGCACGTACAAGCCATCCCCTTCTGCAACCCTGAAATTATTCCAGCAGTAGGACTGGAAGTAACGCAGCGTTTCTGCCAGCCTTAACGAACATATGCTCTCGTAACATGCAAAAGTGCTTTTGGAGTTTAAACAAACACTAAAAACTCCAACAGATCGCATCAAATGTGACTCCTGCAGAAATGCTCCCTCCCATCGCTCCCGCATGGAAATGTATTCTATACATTTTTTAATATATTTTTTTTTACAGCATGTCCTTCTTAAGTTGAAATACAGCACAAATAATCATCATTAAAAATTTACCTGGCTACTTTCACCATCTTTGGATTGTACTGCTTAAGTAGAGACAGCAACGTTTTCATTGTTTTACCAGTATCAATTATATCCTGAAAATAAAAATCTCAGGTAAGAAAGAATATTAAACATGTTAGAGTAGCATTTCTACCACAGAAATTGCTCATCTGCAATAGCATGAAAATAGGCCAAAGTACTGTTCAAAATCAAATACAGGTGACAGGTAACCACGCTGTGCTTACAGAACTATGCTCAGTAAAGCCATCACGCGCATTAACAATAGTTCTTAACTGTGGGTAACTATGACTTTGAAAGCAGCTACTGAACTATGACCTTCTTGGCTCCTTTTGGAGATTTTATGGCTTGTGCTCCTTGCAGCTATTAGACAAATAACGTTTAATTCGAATATGATAAGAGTAACATTAGTCTTGCTGTTGAGCTCAGTTACAGAGACAGATGTATACAACAGAAAGACACATAAGAAGGGAAAACACAGAACAACCCATTATTGCAATTAAAGAAAAAGGAGTGTAATTCACATCACAGATCCAAGAAACAGCCGCAGCAATTGCACTGCAAATATCTGCATGCTGTTCCAAAATCTATATTCAAATGCGCTCAAATGAATTTTGACACATCATTTTAATCCCATCCACTGCACATATAAGCAGAAAAAATAATGTATGTCTTACAAGTGAAGCATCAGAAATGGATTCCACATTTGGACTGAAATAACTGCATGATCTTTAGAGGGACAGTCCTTACCCTGGCCTAAAATCAAGTCTATTTGAAGTGAAGGAGCAGAATGTCCTTCACGCTGAAGCAGCAGCAATGTCCTGGTTTCGGCTTATTTTCCCATGACTCCCAATTAAAATAAAAATCAAACAAAAACACTCAAAAGAGCACCCATCAGCTACACCATCTTTAACACTCAATGCTTTTAATCATTGTTATAAACTTAAGAAAAGTTAAAGACATACAAACACATAAACAGATGTTGGTGAATAAACAGAAGTAGCTACTTCCATACTCTAAAATAAAAACAGAGCCTATTACTGATTTTGTATTGCGTGATTATCTGTTTATTGGAGGTGAATCTCCATTTTGTTCAGGTTTTTTTTTGCACATTAAAGGGATGATGCATAGAAAAGCCTAGTGCTCTGGTGCACAAGATACTGAACCTACAATAACTATGCATTTTTACTGTTTGACATTTAAAATGGTGATTGGTTAAAAAGTTTGTATTTGACAGCGTATGGGACAAGTCACTGGATAGATGATTCACTGAACAAATGAGAAACTAACCTAGTTAGCTGTCTGGGACTTTAAAGACATACATTCATCTGAAATGGAGCAGATACATAATTAAATGCATCTGCCTATCTGGAGCAAAATATACTTCAAAGGACACCACTGGTCACACAGATGACTGCTATATGCGTACTATTTTGGTAGGAGTTTTGGAACTGAATGTGCTTCCTGTGGAACAATATAACCTTCTCAAATGAAAAAAAAACCAAAAACAAAACCAACATACATAAAAACCACATTTTATGACAGAGGAAACATCGTTCCCTTTGGTTGCTGAATCAGTTGCCATAGCTGTTTCTTTGCTTACAAACAAAGACATTTCCATTATTTGGAGCCTTAAGACATTAGTCGATTGATTGCACTTCCATTTTTTCAGTCAACCGCTGCTGCTTCCCTACCCTGAAACTGGCAATCCTACTCAAGAACAAACTTTGTCAAAGTGATGTTTACTGAACATAAGCAACACTGTCCATCAAGAAAGAGGTATGAGAGCAAGAATTAAGCAACTGTATCTACTAGGAAATCAAACTGAGGTGCACTGTACTTGGTGTCATCCAAACCACCATGACAAGAAAAAGGGCACGGGAATTCAGCCATTGCAAAATACTAATTAGGAAATAGAGTTCTCTATGTCACTGTTCTCTAAACAAATTATACACAGGAACACTGGGCTTCAATCTGGTTTTCAGATATTTTAGGATATTCCTACTAGGAACCTATTTCTGCCCTTGAAGTTTAAGTTTCTAGCTTGCTGTGATAAATCCAGAACAGTAACTTGCGTAATATCACTTCGTTCAGACTACTTTTTAAAACTTAAAAAAAAAAAGAAAGAAAAAAAAGACATTTTAGAATTGACAGAATCCCAGAAAACTGAAAGCAAGTGCAAACAAATTTACATATATATTTTCCTTGTTAAATTTGGAACCCAAATGCAATTTGTGAATTCAAAACAGACATTATTTGAAATTCAGAGCCCACTTCCAAAATTCAGGCCTGGAATCAGAAGCTGGAAGCCTTGAAAACAGAAACTGTAGGTTATCTGGCTTAGGAACAACTTCTACCAGAACTCTTTTACCAGTCACACATTAGAACTTCAAAGTGAAACGTAATACTTACTTCTACAATCAAAACATTCTGGTGGGAAGAAAAAGAAAAAAAAAAAAAAAAAGAAAAAAAATCATTAATATCTCGAGAATATGTCATTTCTTACATATATTAATCTCGATAACTTATGAATTTTCATTGCGGTTAAGTATTTGTACCACCATTTATGTATGTTTACACATATAACAGTAGTTAACATTTCTGATGCTCTAATAACAATTGGCTGGCAATGAGATTCAACGTCTCATGCTGAGTACAAAGTGGTCTTTAAATTATTTAGACTTTGAGAATTCTAGATATACGCAAAAGAGATCCAAACAGAGTCTACACAATTTGTATTCTTCTAAAGCAAAGAGTGTCATAGTATAGAGACATGTACAGTTCTGTCATACCTCCAGCCTTTATATCGAACTGTGACATGCAAGCCTTAAAGATCACATATGTGTAAGGAGACGGGGAAGTAATGTGTTCTGACAGCGCAGGAGGCACTGATGCTTTAACCCCAGACATCTGGCTCAGCGACCTCCACAGAGTCACTGGAGAAAAGCAGATTCCCAGCTGCCACCCTCCCATTTCCTCCTCTCGTCACTGCCCTAACGGGAACCACCATCCACAACCTGGGCTGCACGTTACACATCACGACAGTATGAATTCCCATCCCTACTTCAGTCAAACACCAATACAGCAAATAAACACCGCCGCTCTCTTTTAAAGGCAGTTTGCAGACAACAACCCCCACAAGATTATTCTTCCCACGCACTACAGAAAAACCAAATCTCCTACAGTTTTGCTGATACCGAAGATGGTGAATAGGGGTTTTTCTGTTAAGTTCAGACTAAACTGACAGCTTTGGTGGGGCTTATCCACTCTCCTAGTATACAGTGGTAAATATTTAAACGAAACTCTTCTGTTTTCATTTTTTAAAATTCTATAATTTTCACATGCTAAAAGAGCAGCCTTAAAGCCAGGCAGGTATGTGGGTTCTTTAGTGGATTTGTTTGTTTGTTTTTAAATATACAAAGAGCCATACCTTTCCAGTTAAGGTTGAGAGGTCGTCTCCACCAATGACTTTTATATCTCCAGTTGACTGATCGTTCTAAGAAAGAGGAGGGTAAGCATTATCATTACCAGCATTAAAATATTTTTTTCTTCCAGTAAATATCAAAACTGCAAAGTACATAACCAATGAACGTTAATGCTTTCAGAAACAGAGCACCAACAGTGTCTATTAACTAAGCAATTACAAGCGATCAAATGCAAAGATGGTATTTCAGATTAAAGATTGTTTGACAAGAGATCTGCATAAACACAGGCACCACCTCTCATCTGTGACCATTATATATACACCTATGTATCTAAAAAGATATGATTTGTTATGCATTCCCTACAGATACCGAAATAAGACAGAAAGCATGCTGCTATATAGCTGGCAATTTACATTTGAAACTTTAATGCTTTAGAAAGCCTTACTCTTCCAGTAAGAATAAGCAACCATAACAAGAACAGCTGGCAAAAAAGGCACAGATTAATATTTAGAAATACAAGCTACAAAAATAGCCAGAAAAGCTTATGTTTGACTAGTTTACAACAAATATTGGTAACAAATCGAATTATTTCTTATTGAACAGGAACATAGGTACACTATCACTACACCACAGCATTTTGCTTCCATAAAACTAAACTCTGATACAAACGTAAATGAACTGTTATATAAGGAACTTAAAAACAGCTGCTAGGAGTGCTTCACAGATCTCTGCAGTTTAAATAAAGTAATTCAACTGACTTTCAACCCTGACAGTGTCTCACAGTTCATATTAGATGCAATATGTTTATTATTGTACTACTTACAAATGAGGACATTATCCTACAATTTAATCCTTTTGGTCGAAGGTTAATATTGCTTATCAAACTTTATTCTCGTAGCTCCTTACCACATAACCTCCTTCTAGAAAAACGGTATTATTTTGCTGCACAACTATGCAGACACGCAGCAAAACAGCAGTTCCTTCCCAAAGCCCAGACAGGACAGATGCAATAGAGAGGGGACCACAAGGGAACTGAGAGACCGTCACATACAGTTTCCTGTTTTTACAGCCGCGTGAAGACAAATATTCACGCTATATGAATTGTAGGCAAAAACTCAAAATGTTATCACAAAAAAGGGGAAACAAATTATTTAGAGAGGCACACAACAAGTTCACAGTAAGTAATGCAATGCTGGGATGATAGCAAAGAGAAAACGTATTAAAATCCTCTGGACAGTGGTGTCAACAGTCTAGGATAAGGAAGCGCTGACAACTCCAAGCATGTAAAAGCAGATGACAAGACAACAGATACTTTCCTTTTAAAATTCCTATGACAAAACATGAAAAAAACCCCAAATAAATTATTGGAAAAAAAGTATCTTTTCAGTTTTACCCCATGTGTTTTGAAGACAACATTAGTTTGAGTGATACCACTCTGAAATTACACCAAAGTTCCATGTCAGCATCAATCTCACTGTGTTGAAAAAGTCCATGTCCAAAATTATTTCTTCTTGACCCAGCAGATATACACACTGCTACTGAATGCCTGAGATACTGGCTAGATCAACCACAAAAATGTGATTCAGTTAAGCACTGTATTCATAAAGCTAAAGGACTTTTCCTGTGTTCACCCTATCTTAAAATTATCTTAAATGACAGCTTCTTTAAGCTTTTCCTTGTTTATGTTACAGGACTCCCTCTTATCTGTTCCTACACTAATAGGGATTTCATCCTCCTTCCGTGGAAGGATGCAAAAAGCATCATTCCTTACAAAACGACGACGGAGAAAGACGTCACAGGTATTTGTTCCATTAAAATTAAATGCATAGATGAGAGACTCGTACTCCTCAGTATACACGTAAGATCAGGTTCCTGATGATCTGTTTGGATACAAAGCAGCACACTACATTCAAACAAGAACACCACAAAACTGTAGGTTACTGTAAACCTTTGGATTATGCATACTGAAGTATGATGATCAGCAGAGAAAAAACAGTCTAATCAACAGAAACTTTCCTGCTCCTTCCCGCCAAAACCATACAAATTGCTACACTTTTTATCACAAAACCTAAATCTTCACTGGCATATAAACCTACAGTCCTATGCAGCTACTGAGTTCCTGAGCAATTAAAGGATAAAAACAGTTAAAGAATTTCCAACACTGGCTGTAACCAGATTTCCACTGGAAAGAACTTTGTTTAATAATTAAGCAATGTTTTAATTATCTTCAGGAGCATTATTTCTGATTTCAGTACTGGTAAGACTTTAATGCTTTGTGGTTTAACACATAAGAGTTTTACCGTTCTAGATCTGTTTTCACTGCCTCCCCATTGTCACTGATGGAAAACAATAATGCTTTACAAGATCGTAACTCCTGACTCAAGTGACTCCAAGATCACCTTTTAAAACGGCATTTTAAGTTGCTTACAGTATTTGTTGTAAGATTTGGTTAACAGAGATCTTTCAGAATACTCCCATGACCAGCCTAAGCAGAGTTTACCATGTACTCCACTGAAAATCCCCATTTTCCCAAGCGACAGTGCAACGCATCCATTGTCTTTTGGCTGCCCTTCGTGACTACATAAACAACATTTGCTCATTTTCAAGTTTAAATGCAGGAGGCTGGTGAAAAGACATTCTTCTTGTAGCACAAACAAAATAAACTGTTTGTCAAGAACACTGAGATCTGGATCTGTTCACAAACACTATCTTTCCTTTTCTTAACAGCTTGCCAGATCATTCAAATTCATCTATAGGAACTCAGAAAGATGGAGTTACAAGCAAAGTTTAATCACAGCTTCATCATGTCAATATTCTTAGAGAACTATTTTTGGGTGCAGAACAGCATGAACTTTGCATTGCAACACAAAAAAAACCCCATACGCTTGTAAATATTAAATGATCAGTTTGAAACAAGAATAGAACCTCAATTACATCAATTTCAGAACCATTCCACAAGTTCAGCTGCTTTGTTTATGTGGCCAGGATATTTTTAACATCTTTTATCCAGTCTGTAAAGGCAGGCAGCATGATCTAGTCATCACATCCAAAGACAGCGACAAGAGAGCTAGATCCACTTTCAGTTGTGATGCCCGTTACAGTTTGTGATGATTTTCACATCACTAAACACAGATCTCTCCATCTAGTAAAGCACAGATAAAAACTGCAGAGCAGATTTAGCATTCTGATACAATTACTGACGGAAGACCTAGTCAGTCGGTTACATACTCATATTAAGACAATCTTATTCAGTCTATCAGTTTATGCAATCTGAAGGATGTAAATCTGGATATTAATAACCATGTAAGAGAGTCCACAGAAATGAAATGCTCGTAAATACAGTAGTGGAGGCATCAGGTAACAGGAGCTCCTCACACATCTACGACAAGAAAACATTCTTTTATGGAATTGACTGACAAAACAAAAAGCCCTGAAGCCAACACCTCAAGGAAAACTTTGTGTTTAGACAGCTTTCTGTCTAAATTTCTCCGCTTTTCTTTTCATCTACTAATTTTTACTACAAAAACAGGCTTTTAATTTCCATAAACATTTTGCTGCTCACTCCCCTATTAATATCAAGGCACTGTAGTTCTGGGGAGTAATAAACAAAAGCAGCTGCAGTAAAGAAATGAACTAAAGCATGCCTAACACACCAGTATGAGCAAGGAAAACATGCATATAATAAGGCAGCCTTGGTTTTTAATGGAGGTTTTTTTTTTTTTTCCAGGTGTTTCAAACCATTTCTTCAGTAGTTTTTTCCAAGTTAGTCAGAAAGTGGAGAGAGTGAAAGGGTGTAGCCTTTATATTGTTTTTTAAACAAGCCAAGTAAGTTATTGGAAGCGTTCCTTGAAGAAAGCAGAAGATACACAATTTCCCCACCAAAAAAGGTGGGAGTCATGATTTCCTATTCTTTAACATAGCATCCTGTAACAGAAACATTCAGCTTTCCGTTGTGGCGTTTATAGGCAGAATCTATGGGCATGTGGTGACCTAGTGGTTAGGCGGGCTGGTGGCAGGAGCCTGAATCTGTTGAGGGGAGCAGAAGGGTGTGAACCAGCTCTCGCTCACTGATTTAAATACGGTGCACAAAGCACAGAGCGCTCCCTGCGGGATACAACCGAAGGCTGGCACAAACCTTTCTGCCCAGCCTTGCCTTCCTGTGAAGGAGCATGGCTAAATTACTGCCTCCCGTTCAGCAAACTGGGAGGGTGGTTTCCAGGGAGCCCTGGGATGGCCAGCCGTGAGTATGCCTGGGGCAGCCAGCGCTGCTTGTCCTCCAAATGGACTTGACCAAAGCCTCATGCAGTTCTGGGCTTCACCCTGAAACGTAACAGATTGCTCAACAGCAATCAGGAATTCATGAAGTTCTCCGACGGTCCAAACTAAGTCTGCAAATAACTCCATCTCTGGTTTCACAGTTTAATGAAAAGAAGCATGAGCTTGAGTTTCCAGTTTAGTAATCTCTATTTTTTTTCTACTGGAATAGGCACTCGTCTACAACTGTGACAAGTAGCCTATGCTGCTGACTTGAATGCAAAGTTCCTGAGACAGAACTAACAGCATAACCTTATCAAACGGTTTATGCAAACACTCTAAGCTGAAGTGAAAAAATGTAATTATTTCCATGCTACAGACGGTCTTATGGAGCAAATCATAAATACCATCCTGAAAACACGAGACTAGGCTGTCGGTAAGTCAGGAAGCAGTTATAACATACCGCTGCTGCTTCCTTTGACCTGAGCAACATAACCTCGTGCTTCCTTCTATAAAACTTACATGTTATCTCATGTTACAGAACGCTCTATTTCCCTGTATAGTTAAATCCTAGTGTTCAGAATGAAAATAAATTATTTTCCAAGAATGTAAACCCAAGAGGCAACCTATGCCTAGTCCTGAAAAGGCAGTGCCATATTCAGTGGCCACTAACCATAAATCTAGGTTTATGAATCTAGCACTTCCTCAAGGCCAAATACAACTAATTTTATTCACTGTTCAGTTGAGCCAAACAAAAGATGAGACGGGGAACTCTGGTATAACTGTTTTTGCAGCTTCCAAGTCTTCCCGTCCAATGAATGATGTCTAAACCACATATAAATTACTATAGTAAAATTTTTGTAACCATAGCTGCAGGAGAATCCTCTGTATTATTCTAGAGCCACAGCTTCAGAGATGGGGTAGTGGCCAGAAAAGAAACTGTTTAACAAGTAAAGGACATGGAAAAGGTCTCTCTGCTCTGTACCAGGATTTTACAGGGCTGTGGAGATACCAAGGTCTAAAGGAGAACATATTAGAAAATAAGGTAAAGAAAATTAGCTTGTGACTCTTAACCCCCTTAATTATTTAACATTCTGCACATTCTGGCAGTAATGCTACTAAAACACCTCCGTTAATAACTGGAAGTTAGTCAAATTTATATAGAAACTACAGAGTACTGCAGAGATACTTACACAATAACTCTTCAACCTAATGAAGTCGACAGTCATGGGGATTGATTTGTCACTGTTTCTGTTCAGTGCTTTGATGTAGTCTAATAAATCAGCAAAAAATTTATAGCCACCCTTGAGTACACAGAGTGCTACAATGTGATGTCCTCCCATGCCCTTCATAATTTCTCGTGCCAGTCTCTCCGTCCTATACAAAACCAAAAAAAAGTTAGCTGTCAAGACACATTTCACTTGCTTACTATAGCAGCAGCATTTTATACTGCCAAAGGTAGCAAACACATGCATCAAACTTGGAAACACATTCTGCTCGGAAATATTTGCCTACCACTTCAGTCACTTTTACACATTATTGGTCAACAAAGTTTGGTGTTTTTCAAGGTTAATCTAGCAGTAGCACTGCCAAACGCCTTTGTTTTCATACGTCACACTCAGCCAAAGCAAATCTTAACACCCTGAAGCTGCTTCACTGTCAGACACGCAACGTGAAGGTGCATTTTCTCCTTCCAAAGATAGGTTCAGCTCCCATGCAAAGAGCAACATAAGCTAACAAAACCAAAAAGGCAGTAGTTCTCACTAACTGAGGAGCAAGAAAGTTCTCAAATTGTAAACTAAGGAGTGAGTTTATTTGCCAAGCTAGAATGCCAGAAATTTGCCCTAACTGCAAAATACAATACCAATGAAGCAGAGCAAGAGAACACTGCACTGTTCTTCTGCAATCATTGTTTCTAAATTTATCCTGTAATTTATTTTAGAAAGCATGGTATGTATTTATTGTGTGCCAGCCGACAGCAGGTTTCTCAGAGAAAGCCTACTATTATAAACTTTACGTCATTTACTTAATGACATGTACTTTGTCCAATTTTTTGCTCTGTATGGACTTCCAGTGCAAAGTTTTTACAATATTAAAAAAAAAAAAAAGGAATGTTTATTATATCTAATCAAACAGGACCAGACCACACAAAACTTAGATGCATTCCTATTCGCAAGACCTCCGAGAAGATCCACCCATCACCGCTCTTAAATGGTCGCGTGTCTCCAATAACTGCTTTTCACTGAATTTGTGGTTCAGTCTCTTAAGAGGAATTAGCAACTATCAAACACAAAATGCCTTGTAGGCTTACGCACTCATTTCTGATCACACGAGATAAAACTTCCACAGCGCATCACAGATTTCAGCAACGACAGAAGTGACAGGTTGATATTTGCAGAGGCTAATGTCTTTCCCAGAAAGTTGGAGAAAGCTGGATATTACTTATATGAGAAACAGACATGAGAAAGCCTAAGATAATGTCATTAATAATTTACTTTTATTAAAATCCTAAAAAAATTCAAGAGACTATAATTGTTTTCAGACTGAACTGGCACAACAAATCACATCTTCTAATCAGGTTTTAAGAAGGTAAAACATCAAAGAAACACTGGAAAGAAAGTTGTAGATTGCTACGTACCACAAAATTTTGCTTGAGAATTATGGCAAATTTCCAAACAATAGCATAACTGCAAATGTACAAACTCTTAGAAGCCAAACAGGAAAGAGTTAATCAGCACTTGTATTTTTTAGTCTCTAATTAAACATCATTTATTTAGACAGTCACCAGGCAGCAAAACTATCACTGGAAGATTGTTTATTCCAGTGTCATGGAATCAGCTGGAACAGTGTACTGTCTGAAGTCAAACAAACCTGTCCATGATGAGCCCGTGAGGAATATAGACTTTTTCCAAATCATCTGCATAATGTTTAGGTATGCAGAACAAGTCCAGGTCGTAACCCTGTTCATCATCGCCAATCTGAAAAGGAAATAAGGTGAGATTTCTACAAAGCCTTATAGAAAGTCTGTGGTGAGAAACTGCAAGTCCTTCGCTTTATTCGGTAAGCTATCAAACCCATTACACTCATCAGGATCACGTTACTTTCCCTCTCTATAAAAACATCAATCACACTGGACACAGTGCAAACTGTAATCTAACAGAACCTACAGTTCACAGGAATTGCTCGAAATATCACATGAATTGGTGTGCAATAAAATGTGGGGAAGAAATTAAGTCCTAACAACATCCTCCTACATGGAAGAGCAGGAAAATGAAGGTACTACACCTCAATGAATCTCTTTATTCTGTTTAAAAAATAATCGAGGAGCTTTTTTAACACCTTTGATTTTCCCAGTGTAATGCAAAACCTGCATCTGCAATTAAGCAAGCAGAGGTTTTGACATGGACATCTTCCCAATCTCCACAACACCAAATCACAACAAAACACGTGAGCCAGTTTTCAGGAGACCACAGACAGCTACAGGAGCATGACAAGTTGTACTGCTGTGAAGCAAGCCTTCGCAGACCATCACCTGCAAACCGTGGAGGTTCAAGATCATTCAGAATCTGAACTGAAAGCCCTACTTCAGCAACCTGAAATTCCCTCTATGAAACAGCCTGCAATATTAGCAAGTGTATATTAGGATAAGGGATTCGCAGATACATATATATATATATATATATATTAAAAAATATATATATAATTGTACCAAACACTGCAGAGGTTCAGGTTATACTGTCACAACAGCATCAAGAATAGCCTTCTCTGAACCTTAACCCTGCTGCAACGTGAAAAATGACAGTGTGTTTTTTAAATACTTCACTCTCCGGTTATGCAGTTGAACGCTATTACATGTAAAATGAAGCTAAGAATTTCAAAAGGAAAACTGAAGCTTATTACTGACACTTCACCAGGCAGGCATTTTAAGTATCCATTTTGGCTACCGCTGCCCTTGCAAGACACAATCTCATTTTGGTGCCCAAGGAAGCACTTACCTGGCTTGTGATCAGCTGTTTACACGTTGTTTTTTTGTTGCTGTTGTTGTGTAACCCCCTAATGAGTATTTCACATGGGGAATTTCACCCTCCCACCCAAAACAGACCCTGTATGAGCTACCCACGCACCCGGCTCAGGCATGGAGCCATCAGGGTCCCGGCAATCCAGAGCAGGTTGTTATTTTAAGTGGTAAGACGGGTCCCTCCCCGAACACATTGTATTTTCCTGTGGTTCAGACCCATCGTTGTATCTAGCGTGTCTACTAAACCCTCCTTTCTGCATTCGGTAGTGAATGGGCCCTTCCTAGAGATTTTATCAGGTTTTATTACTGACCGCAGGGATTTACAGTCACAACCTCGCGGCCGGCACAGCCCTCAGCCATAAGACACCACATGTATTTCACGAGCACCCGGCGCTGGCTTTAGATAAAATAATAAAAATTAATATGGAAGAGCCTTAAGAGACACGGCAAAGGTGAAAAAAAAAAAAAAAAAAAAAAAAAACAACAACAAAAAACATAAATAGCCCCCCCCGCATGCTCTTCCTTCAAAAATACATCCTAACTTTAACATTTAAGCGACTCGCCCCGCACTCGCAAACCGGTGCCTCCCCACCACGCTACGAAAAGCAACAGGAATAGGAAGTTGTGCCGCGCCGGGCTCGTATCTGGTGGGAAGTTGTTTCACCTTCATTTCTCAGGCAGCAGCGCCGGCTCTCCCCGCCGCCCTCCGCGTTTAAACCCCCCCCCCCCACCCGAGGCGCCACCCGTGACCGCGAACCCACCCCCGCGCTGCCCGGCGGCCGCGCTCGGGGGAAGGGGAAGCGCCGGGGCCGGGGGTGCGGGGAGGGAGCCCCGGGCCCGGCGCCGGGAGGCCGGGGCTCCCCTCAAGGTGACTGCGCGGGGCGGCGGCTCCCGCCGCGGAGGAGCAGCCTTTTTCCCCCGCCGCGCTCCCTCATAAATCGCCACATTTTGTGGGGCGAGCGGGACAACCCCCCCCCACCACCACCACCACCACCTCCGCCCTCCCCTCAGCGAGGCGGGAGGCGCCCCCCCGGCAGCCCCCCCCGTCCCGCCACGGCGGCGGCGAGCAAAGGCTTCCCCGCGGGGTGGGGAGGGATGGCGGCGGCCGCACTCACCACGATGCAGGGGCTGGGGGTCGCCATGGAGCGGGGCGGCCCGGCGGGAGCGGCGGCGGCGGCGGGCGGCGAGGAGCGAGGAGGCGCCGCGCCCCGCAGCGGCCCCGGCGCCGCCTCCGCGCCCTCCGCGCTCCCCGCCCTCAACATGGCCGCGCCGCCGCCGCCCGCCCGCTCCGGCGGACAGAGGCCTGCGGCGGCCCCGGCCCGGCGCCGGCGGAGAGGGCGGGGGATGAGGCGGCCCCGCCGGCGGCCGCCTGCCCGGAGCCGCCCCTCAGCTCCGGCGGCACCGCCGCCCCGGAGGGACGGGGCGGTCCCCGCGCCATCACGGGTCCCCTCTCCTGCCCAGGGCAACAGGGGTGCAGGTGGCCCCGATCCCCGCCCTCCGCGTCTTCAGTGTTGTTCTTCCCTCTCCCCAGCACCATGTGGGGGATGTCCCCTGGCCCTGGGGAAGATCGCTCCCTATCCCCCGCGGGGGGGAAAGGGTGAGCGATGGCTGTCGCGCCGAAACCACGGACGGGATGGATGCCCTTCCCACAGGTGTGGAGGGGCTCCACAGATGGTTCCCCCACGCAGGGAACACTCCTCTCCCACCCGGTGTTGCCCGGGCTCCTCTCCCTCACCGAGGAAGGCCTGTCCTCCGCCATGGCTTTGTGCACCTTGAAGGAAAAAAGAAAAGGGACTGCCTGCTTGCATCACTTAGGGTCTTCCTGCGAATCACGGCATTGAGTGCAGACTCGTTCTCCCCAGGCATAGGAAATCCCGCCTCCCGGCACAGGGGGAAAACACTTAAATCCCCATCAGCCTGACACGCGTGGGGTGCTGGGGCACCGCCAGCCCTCAAGGCAGCGCAGGGCCGCCCGCCTCCACCTCGACACGCCAACAAGGGTGATAACCAAACCTCATGCTTCGGGGCTCCAGCTGGTTGCTTGCAGGGGTCAGGTCCCTCGGTGCATAACTGAATATATTGTGGAATTTTCCTCCTCCGGCGCTGCTCGGCAGCATCAGTGTGGTCACTCCTAGCTGCTCACTCCGAGGCGGTGCAGGGAACCCTGCACGGACGCTGCTCCACATCGGACAGAGCAGGGAACTGATTTTAAACCAGGCCTTGGTTGGTAATGACTGCGCCTTTTCACTAGGCAAAGAACGTGGTGGCAGGTGCCGCTTCCCCACGCACAGATGAAAAGGGATCCCCTGCACCCCTGTCACCTCCCGCACTTGCCGTTTGGCGTGAGGTGAGGCTCAACTGTGCCTCCAGATGCTGCCCATACCTAATTATCTGAAGGAAAAATTTGATCTTGAGGTAAGATATTAAGAAAGCATGGAAAGGCCTGGATAGCTCTAGTGGTCTCAGATGGGGAAAAAACAAAATAAAGCACTGTCAACTTTTCCTGTAGGTCTGGAGTTAAGGCCAATACAAATGGGAATCCAGGGTTTCTTATATTTAATAATTATGTATCAGCTGAAGACTTTCCGCTTCTTTCCCTAAGGGGTGGAGACCAAGTTTTGTTTTATGCTGCATAAATACTTGGTATCAAGAAAAGGATAACGAATCTTAAAAATAATTTTATTCATAAAGAGCTGTAGCAACCAACTCCTGATACACATCTAGCATTATTACTGTCGGCTCAGGAAACACAATGAAATCAATTTAAGCATTCCTTTGTATGAAACAACCAATTTAAGCAAATTTTAACAAAGCAAATAGGCACAATCCCTAACAAATGCAGTATTGCTGCAGCTAGGTGTTCAGCTACAGTTTGGGTGGGTGAATTCTGGAGTGGGAGGAAGAGGCCTTTATCAAATTGCCTTGGGCAGCAGAATGAAATACGCCCTGTAGCTAACTAATATCAGGAACATGTCATAGCTGGCCTAATTCCAGCAGGCTGGGATGAACAGCAGCTGCCCTGTCAAGTTCAGGGAGAGGCTGACATTGGGCAGTGGGCAATATCTGTCAAGAGACTGTGCAACCACAGCAGCTTTTCAGGATCTGATTTCATATTAGTTACTGAAGACACTTCTCATTAATGACCAATGTCCATGCCTGCCATTAAAACCAGCATCCAACGGCACCTTTCTGATTGCATGCAAAAGTTGTTAGCTTGACTTCTGTGTGATTCCTCCCCAGCAGACAAAAGCATTAGTCCTGTTTTGCCCTTCTGGGTGAGCAATTTCTTTGTTCCTCCTGCCAACCAGCACATTCCTACATTCAAAGCATTCTGGGTCCTGCTGGCACCCCGTTATGGAGGGAAAAACAGATTTACAAAAGCAGAAATATTTGCTGATATTACAGGAAGTCAGTTAGCTGAGATCAGGAACAGATTTAGTAGATGACCAGGTTTGTCCTTGCTGGTATGGGCGCCATGGAGGTTTGCAGGGCAGGGTGAAGGGAGGGGGTTCAGACGCATCTGGAAGCTACACATTTTCTGGCTAGAAGATGCGTAAGGTAGGGGAGCCAATGTTCTGATTTCTCTGGTATCCACAGCTTTTTAGAAGATAAAATATTTTAATACATCTGTTTTTTCTCTGAGTATGTTCCCGATTTCATAATTATTTTGTCCTCTGTTGCCAGTCAGGCATATCTCAGTGCTCAGGCCCAGTGAACCATGGGACCCTGTGTGAGCACCAGTTGTATGTAACTTTATTAACAGACTTTAAAAACCTTGCTTGGTATCCACATGTCCCCAGTGGTGGGATACCTGGTGATAATAACTGAGTATTCATCGTTTGGAAACACTTGAAATCGTATGCTCTGAGTCAGATCTTCAGGTCACGGCCCATTCACCAATCCCTCTCTTCCCCCCATTTTTTCCTCCCAGTTTTGCCATTGCTGCTGGATGACTCACAGAGACTTAGCAGAATTTAACTGCTGTTTTTTTTCACAAGACAAGCCTCCTAAAAAAGCAGAGAGTGCAATGAATTTCCAGCAGATTAACAACTGAGACCAGCAGAACTCCCATGTGACCAGAAATTAGTCTGTGCAGACAGAATGGGGAAAAAATGGAGAACTTAAGGCATATTAACCTGGTCCTGAGATGAACACTAACATTTTTAAGCAAGAGGAAAATCAAAAAGGAATATCTCATTAAATGGTATATAGAGCATTCACCAAAACGGGAATTTAGCATGCAAGCATCCCATCATCATCCTAGCTACAGAGACATCCCTCCACTTTGACTAGAAATTTAAATAGCCTACAGTTATTTTTCTAGCCTAATGTTTCAAATGGGAGAGGAAGCCAGATGTACCAAAACAACATTTAAAAAGAGACACACCCTTCCTAAGAAATAGGGAATAGATGTTGTTTGCTGTAAAATGCTTTCTTTAAATAATGTTATTCCTGTTCCCTGTCTTGTTGACTTTTGAAGAAATTAGTCATCAAAGTGATTCTCAGTGGTGCCAGTCTCCACAGATTTTGGAGTACTTGTTTCACAACTGGAACTTCCTGGATGATGAGAGTTTACCAAGATTTCTCTCCCTGCTCAGCTAATAAATGACAATTTACTTATCAAAATGAAAATAAGCAAACCCTCTGACCCGATGTACTCTTCTGGAGCTGTAGGTAACTTTCTTTTTCATGTACATCTTTACCTCTGTCAACCCTTGCAGGAAGAAGGTTTTCAGACTCTAGGGGGGGGGGGGTGGAGGAATTACAGACATTTTGCTCTTTATTCAGTAGTGCAAGGAATGGTCACTGCCACAAGAATTACGCAATTACTGCAAAACACTGAGTGTTGGCTTATCACAAAATGCCAACCATCCTCAGAAACGCTGAGCTGAGTTGCTGCAGACAACACCGTGCTGGTATTTATGGCATTTATCAGCTTTTGTTTGCAAACATCCGTTAAGAATTACCCCAGTGGTTCTGGTTCAGCAGGACCAGACACCGGCCGGCGTCTGTCACAACACAGCGGAGGGGCCGGCGCTTGGCGCCACGCACACCGAAAGACACACAGAAGTCCTGCCCGATGGGATTTACCGAGTGCCAGCGTGCTGCCAAGGTCCAGCCAGCCGAAAGGCCTGCAGAAATTTAAACAAGGATTATCTTAAAACGGCAGAAAACAAGCAAAGGCAGATCCCGGCGCTGAAGCAGCACAGCTGGCACAGGCTCAGCGCTGCCGGACCTGAAGCACAACCCCGTGCTGCGGGGCCCTGTGCCCTTGGAGGCACCCGAGGTTGGGAGTAGCCCAAGCCCTGCTGCCGTGAGCGAGCGTGTGGGGTGCCCACCTTCCCCCCAACAGCTCTGAGCTCTGGGCTTGCTCCTCTTCCCGCTCGCCAGGGAACTTGCTCCCTGGGCACGGGAGAGCTGTGAGAAGTGGCTTGGACGGGGAGGAAAGCACACCTGGAGTCTGGAGACCTGCCCAAAGGACACTGGTTTTGTTTGAAGAACCTGTCCTGACGCAAAGCTTGAAGTCTGAGCTATTTATCTAACTATTTTTCTGGTTTTTTCTTTTTTTCTTTTTTCTTTTAAACAGCTATTTTTCCAAGCTCAGTGTGACTCACTGAACAATGTGGTCTGATGGAGCTGCTGACTTTGATGCAGCAAAAGGTAAAAAAACAAGGGTTGGGTTTGTTTTGGTTTTTTTTTTTTTTTTTTTTTTTTTAATGTGACAACAGCTCTGCCCTCGCTGCAGAGCAGCCTTCAGAGCCGCTACGCTCACGACTGGCTGCAAGTGCGTGCCGCGTCGCTGCCGCCACGCGAGGGGAACCACCGGCGTTCGTTAGAGACGTTGTCACGTGGCGCTGGAAACCCCGCGCGCAAGGACACCGTAAAGCCCGGGCTGACCTCCTTTCACTCCTCCCACCCATCCCCTTTGCACGCATTGCTCTTCTCACGCTGAAGAAGTCACCTGAGGTCCCCAGCAATCCCTTGCAGAAGCAAAGCAGAATGAAGAGCAGGGCCAAGACCAGTTATGGAAATCAGATTCCTTCCTTCCCTGCGCAGCAAGCATTAGCAAGAGGGATGTTTTCTCCGTGCCAGTAACAAGGAAAATCCTTCTGCTCCCCTCATTCAGCAGCGCTTGCATCAACAAGGTACCTGAGTGACCCAGAAGCCTCAAGGTGACACCACAAAAATGAATGTGACTGATGGCAGCCAC